AATAACATAATGTACTTATAATGGGAAAAATATAATATTAGCATGGAACATGTTCCATATTGGGTACATACGAATTTCGACAGAAAAATAATAATTATACTAAGAAGAAGAAAAATTTAACGGAAAATTTCTTTTGAAGACTTAAAAACAAACATGTTTAATGATAAATCATGCAAAAGTAATATTTTTTTACCTTATCTTCCCAACAACAATCAACTTCGCATTCAACGGCAGACTTGTAACTGAAGCTCAAATTTTAATATGATTGTCTGTTATTTATTTGCCGATCTGTTGTTACTTATTTGCCGAGATATTGCGGTGTTCGGGACACCGTGTTCCATATTAGGTACAATTACCCTACCTCTTTTGTTAAATTTCAGAATGGATTTATTTACATTGAAAATTGAAATATATTAATATCACATTAGATACATGGGTAAAGTTAATCTAATATTGTATATGTATGCATATGATTAAAGTATAAAATTTGTACGATGCGAAAAAAACATTTAGGTTAAATTTTAATTGAATTACATATGCATTGATTAAGACTCCGTCTGCTTTTACTCTTTTTAAATAAAGCAAAATTTTTGTCACTGCATGAAAAATTATAATATCCTTAAATATGATTTTTATGACTACAAATTAATCTTATAGATAGCTGAAAAATAAAAATTTGCTGAAAGAAATAAATCCCAATAAATACCATTATATTATACTACTGTGATCAAAAAGTATCGGGGCTGGTCCAATAAAAAGTAAACTATTACTTCATTCATCCAAATCTATTTCGTCCCCTTCAAAGTAATCCCCTGTTACTGTAATGCACTTGTGCCAACGTTTTTTCCAGTCCTCGAAGCACCTTTTATAATCAATTTGAGATATAGCTTTCAAAACGCGTAGTAATTTTTCCCTTATCCCATCTATCGACTCAAAACGGTGTCCACCAAGTGGTAATTATTTGAACTTAGGAAATAAGAAGTACACGGTGCCATATCAGGCGAATACGGAGCTTGCGAAATGGTTAGGTTAGGTTAGGTTAACGTGTTGTTCATCTGTTAAAGTGGAAGATATTTCAGATCGATTCTCGTCTTTGACACGTTCTCTGCTTTCTTTCAACATTTTGTACCAGTTGAAAATCCTTGTGCTTGACATGCACGCATCACCGAAATACTTCCGCAACATTTCTACAGTTCCTGTACACGAAATTTCGTTCCGAAGACAAAATTTTATGCAAATTCTTTGCTCCACAAAATTTGACATATTAAAAATCGCCGAAAGTACTTTCCTTTAATCACGAAACAGTCCTTTATTTGCAAACCAACAATGGCAATAACGTGACATTTTCAACACATGTTAGAAACAGTTCTATCAATTATGAAGAACAAAAGATTTTCAGATATAATTAAAGCGGGCTATTTAAATGCGTCAGTCCCGATACTTTCTGATCACAGTAGTATATTATACAGAGTGTCCCAGATTTTATCCGTCAAACTGACTTGCGATTAGTATCACTTAAAGCGCCGGCTATTTTGTTGGAAACTTTACTTAAAGCGCCGCAATATTTACGAGTTTTAAAATAAAATAAAATAACTCTTGCAAAACACAAAATTTCTATTCAAAAATTTTACATGGTGCTTATTACAGGCACAACGACGATTTTTAATGATATAAATATTGAGCCACTTGCTATTCAAGAGATATATTTTTTTCTGCACAAACATGTGAAAACGCCTTAAAGCGGGTCCGGCGCTTATAATGCTATGATACAAAGTAGTAATAGATCAGCGATATTTACATCTAATTTAGTCTGTTTATACAAGCTGTGTTTACTACCTGAGGTCGTTGAAGGTGTTGAATGGATTTCTGGCAGTACCATTCTTATCTTCTATTGTAGTAACCGCAAATCCGTTATCGTTCCTATTTCGTATTTTTATTATTACTTTTTAATAAAGCTTCAAACAACCTATGTTTATATAACATTTTCTTCTTATTTATACCCATAATAAAGTATTGCAGCCCCCTCCACAATCCCCTGACTTAAATTCAATTGAAAATTTGTGGGATGAATTGGATCGCAGAGTTCATAAAATAACAAGAAATATCAACGAGGAGTAAAAAGGCGGATAACGGAAGAATTGCACAAAATCAGCACAGATATTTTGAAAAAAATAATTCATAACATGCCAAACCGTTTAAGAGAAGTTATTAAAAATACAGAGTATCCAACGAAATATTAAAAAATTATACTGGAGGCATCATTTTTATTTTATAACTTAAATTAATAAAGTGTAGACATAAAATTTTGCATTTTTCATATTGTTCTTGTAATATAACATAACCATATGTAAAAACTAGTCGTTTTGGTATTTATAGATTCTCTGTACTATACTCTAACATAATTCAATACATTTTTGTACATAATTACATACTTACTCAAAATATAAAACTTAGAAGACAAAACTATACTGGTGTCCCAATATTTTTGTGACCGACTGTATATGTATATTTCACATGTATTTTACTTCACATCAAAAAGAATGACCAGCAGAAAAACTATCATTGTTAATATAGTACTATCTACACTAAACTTTAGAACTCACAGATAGAGAGTTTATCATCCTTAATCAGATCATGCTTGGAGTATACGAACATATATGCAGATATTACTATACATAAAACACTTATGACTCTTTATATATAGAACAGCAGTGAAGAGATGACAATTTCTATTCCTAAAATTGAAGATTCCTGCTTCTAACAACACAATCCTGATGGAAGCCAATAAAATCTCATTTTTGCATATATGAAAGACTTCATTGAAACTGCAAACTGCAAGAACACAATAAGGGGATTTCTCTAACAAAAAGTAAGAAATAAATTAATGTGATCCAAATAGAACAATGTAGAATATTTCCTTAATCAACTTAAAGTATATATCATTGCACCATACAACATCATAGACTTACACATTCAATTAAAACAGAATTTCTCCATTATCTGCCACATTAACATATATACAAGTGGTTCCTATGTACATAGATCCATAGGAGCTTCTTACATCAGTTCCCAACTTAGCTATCGTACAACCATTAGTACAAACATTAATGCTTTTCTCATGGGTAAGAAACTTAGTGTTTGATATGTATTCATGCGAAAGAACCTTGGTGCATCGTTTCCTAGATTACTAGATAACAAATTAAGCACTATGATCTCACAGCCTTTCTTATTAATCTAAGCATAAGGTAAGTAGCTACTACTGGTGCAAATGTGCTACATACGACTTGAACCATGTTCTCTGAGATCTGTCACCTCCAAAAAAGTTAACAAAAATGCTAAAACCTAAATAATAGTAATGTGATTAGTATCCAGAATAGCTCCTACAATGTGGAACCATTCTTGTAAAGGTCCAATATGAAAATTATTAAAGTAATAATGGATTCCTAATGATAAAGAAATTACAAATCTGACGATATATAATATGGTAAAAAATTGGGTTAGATTAAATTAGTTATACAATCTAAATTTAAGTATATTAAAAGTTCTTATGAAAAAATACAAACATAATCTAATGATACAAATTAAATACATCAACAGTATAAATTAACATAAATAGTACACAAATAAAACAATGTTTCTAAGATACTATGTTTAATAGTCTAAGTTATTCTACAAAATGCAAAAATGCAATATAATAGTTTTGCAATTTATTTGCAAACTTCTGAATATGAATTGTTACGGATTCAAAACATACATATAAGGAATGAAATTTTAAGTGTGCATAAGCAAAAAGACATATGTATGTACCAAAATGCTTATAATTTAAAAGTCAGAATGTATTAGTTATATATATTATTAATTCCTATTTTATACAGAAGAACATGTAGATGCTGCAAAAACTTTATATCTAAACCTTATCTAATGATAAACACAAAACATTTCATTAGATCACTCTAATAAAAAAAAGTACCTGTTACGTGCAATTTGATATTCACTTGTGGTTGTGAGATGGATTAATTAAACAACGCTGCAAGCAAAATTTAAGTATCCCGGACTAAAGACGTACCTATTGGTAGGATATTAGGATTTAAATGTGAAATTTAAAATAATAGTATTTAATATACAAAATTTCATTAAAATATGGTATTAAAATAATAATAATAAAACGTACAAGTCTACTAGGGCTAGGCAATCTATCTTTGTTCCGGCACTGGACTCTTACAAATCATATGTATGTGTTTAAACACCGTCACGTACGTATGCGTCGTAAGTAGTGAAGTATATACATATATACATCCTCACTGCGAAGTCACTATTCAAGCGTGCACAATGTGTATCTATGTATGCATATGTATATCGTTTATAGCAAAAGTATTAAGAACCAATTGTCATAAATATGTGGAATAAATAATGTTTCCTAGGTCACTTAAATTACAATACATTCGTATTTCCATGAAATTAACATCGCATCTGCGTTCTTTCTACAATTTTTTACAATCTTTTAAAGCACATTCCACACAAGAATATTATTTCTACATTACTATCTAGATAAATAATAAAATATAAAATAGAAACACTAATATATGATGAAATATTTATACTATTATAAGTATACGTTAAAATATAGAATAGTCATAAAAATATATGATCAAACCTTTACAAATAATCAAATAATTATAGTTTAAGGGCCTATATCCATTTTTTAAATCCAACTTTACACGACGAGTGTTTAATAAAAAAAACCAAAGCTTTAAACATCGTTCTACATGAACTGCTACCGATACAAGTACTTCCAAACTGTTAGCCAAAGAATCAAGATATCTCCGGAAAGGTTTCAGTTTTAGCTTCGCCAGATGGCACAACGACAATCACCTGTTACCTGAATTTTTACCTGAATAGCTCTAACCTCAGGGACCAGCCGACCAATCGTTGCGTCGACCCTGGGGCCTCACTTCCCCCACTACAGTCGCCTCTTGGCTCGACTGCAACAGGCTACGTAGTTCATAAATTCGTTCATCGTAAGCACGAAAAGATTGCTAGTGTTAACTGTCGACGCTGCTTTCGACTCATCTACATTGTGTTACTACACGCAACAGACGCGTAGTGTACCAATCCTTGTGGTGTACCAGCAGTGAAAACGAAAACAGGTGAGTGATTATTTTGGATTTGATAATGCTCTTCCTATCACTGAAGCAGATTCGACGACCATTCTTTCGTTGATACGATACCGAGTCCGTTACTCAACTAAAGAGGAATTTCTTCACTAGCATACCAACTAAGGGCATTCTATCGAAATTTCCTATCTTTGAAAAAGTGAATACTTGTGGGCGTATCTCCATTAGCTTCAATTCGCTTCGTAAATGTTCATTCTTTACTTAGAATCACCATAGCCGTATTTTTCGATTCAGGTCACATGACTTCACGTGTATTTATTGCTGCCATGTTTGAAGATAAACTTGCAAAAAGCACACTATCCTGTTCTTGCTCTTTTCTTTTTTTAATTTAATGGAAGTCTATGTTCTTTTAAGGATGTACTCCAGCTTAATTTTATATTTATAATCAAACTTTATTGTTACACTGCTAGGCATGGTATCATATTTTAAAAATTGTGTAATCAGTTTAGCACGCAAAGAATATGTTAAATTTTAATTCGAGTTTTATCTACAAGAAGTTGTAAAGTAATGCTTGTAAGTTTATTACACACACTTAGATTTAAATGCAAAAATTTCGTATTGATTGTAATTGTGATTAATCTTATCACGAAGCAAATATTCTAATCAGTATTGCGTTCATTGTTCACTGATATTAATATGATATTTAAAAAAATCATATTATTTATATCATTTTATTTGTGCACATACGCAATAAGAATGTAACTGAGCCAAGAATAGATTTGACATTACCTTAGATTACATAATATCTAAAGAAATATACAGTTTTTGTAATATTCTTACAGGTAGAGGATTAAGAAGAAATAATAAATTGTCATAATTGATTATTGCTTATCACAGCCATTTGTATGAGGAAAATATCGTTAATTAGTTAGTAACAACTAACCTTAAGTAAAAAAAATTGATGTTGTTGCATGTGTTTAGTTTTTCGGTGCTTTAAACTCATGTTTTGTGATAAAATAATAATCGTTCGTCCCTCGCAAAAAGCAGGGACATTGTTCTGTACGATTTTACATATATGTGCGCTTTTGTTCTTGAATAGAATTCGATTAATAAGTATTGATTGAGATAATAAATATATACGGTGATCTGTAATTGGTGGTACAGTTGTGCAAGTGGGGCAATTAATCTTATTGATTACAATAACTGATCAATAAATTAAATTAAAATTCAATTTTCTCAAAACTAAGCTTTTTACGAAAAAATTTTATTCTACATTTTCGACTTACTTTTTCACGTAGTATCACGGTCGTACCATGACAATGCGATTGAAATATGAACATATAACAACGTGGTGTAGCACAGAGTGCATTTATTGTCTTAATGACTACAAAAGCCAAACAATAACAACAGTGTTAATTGGAATAACTGTCCATATATTTTAAACTTGTAAAATGGTTCAATTGTAACGACTAGGCACAGATGTGCGATTGCTGTTGCATACCTTTGCACGCATATCAGCAGGCAGATTAGCTTGTATTTTTACGTCCTCATTGGCGCCGAGCGGCTGCGAGCGAAACAATGAAACCGATAAGAAGCGTGAAAGGCAAGGTAGCGTGTTTACGGTGAAAATCGGAATCATTTTCAAAGATTGTCGTATTACGGATGAAATCTTTCTCGGTGTCCGAATATGTTCGTTTGATAAACATTTAAAATGTGCAGTTCTATATGTACTAATCTACATACCCACGTTGTCTTAAATCGTATTAGCGACTTCAGAATACAGCAACCACAATAGAGTATTTGCATAAATTTTATTTCGAATAAAGATAACGAAGAAAGAGGATAGTCCTTCCTGTTTAGAAGAAGTAAGTAGGTAGTATCGATGACTTATTACAGTCAGATGCTTAGTTTACATTAGAGTTAAAAGAAGTTTTCATCACATATTTCAAATAAATGTGAATGGAATACTTTTGTTAACCTTTGCCATTATGTGTGTTGGATATACTTAATTTGTTGTATATACATGTTGTAAATACTTTTTAAATATTTTTGTATATTCATTTCGGTCTTAGATTCAGAACACGTTCTTATCCCCTATTTCTTATAACTAGAACAATATAAGTTATTGTTAAGTTGAAAATAAAGTTCAATCTCATTATATAAGTAAATTTACCTTATAATTGGTATGATAGGTATTGCAAACATAAAACAGAATATGCCTAGAGATGCAAATAAAAGAGAAAAATATACATATCTGTAAAGACTGTGCGTCTCAAATAGCATTTGTGACGTTTAAATACCACTGCTGATTCCAAGAACACGTAGTCGTATACGAGCATTAATATTAATATAAACTAGTAGCATTTTTACGTAAGCATGCACATGTTCCATCGTCGCATGTGTCGAAGTCTTGTTTACTGTACCGTAATGTACGGCATGCGACTATTTAAGAGTAGACTGATGGTTTGCCATGTTAATCTAACCAAGGAAACAGATTATTCGAGGATACTTCCATATAGTATTTGTGACGAAAGGTATTTCTATTTTTACTGGAAGGTCGGAAATCAACGATAAAGTTTTAAAAGTTGCGAATCTTAATTCCTTGAATAATAAATGTTCAAAATGTAAATTGTAACGTTTCTAACAATAACGGAAGGAGTTACTAAATATCAATCAAAATTGTCGAAAGAAAAACTGTTTAACCCTCCGTCGGCAAACATTTTTTCTCACTCGGTAGGCAAACTGGATAATTTGTGTCCAGGTCTAATTTCTTTTACTGTTTTAAGCTTTCAAAAAATCTAGAAAAATTCTGGAGTACTTATCAAAGTCTCTACTACTGCATACAATTGTTTATTAAGTCAAATGTTTCAAACTTTTTCAATAAAAATAAAAATTCGTTTCGAAGAAATGCACTTGGGTCTTCAAAGACCTAGATTGCCTACGGAAGGTTAATTTAATATAATTTGAACTGTGAACCTTTTTACTTTCTGTTGTTACAATTCTCTGTTCTGCTACTAATACTTGTATTCTCTATTTATTTTCAAATATCGAGAATACTACATATTACTTTTGGTTTTGTCAGCGATTAAAACATATCATTTATATTTAGCAGTAGCTAAAGCTCTGATTAAATTCATTACAAGCACTTCGCATAAAATGGCCACTTCTTCATGAAATTTCAAAATAAATGTAATATTTAAAAAAATTGTAATTACAAATAACAAGGATACTTTTCGTCAAATTTCTACAAACTTTACGCTTATAAATATTAAACGAAATACGTTTAAAGTACTGTATATGGTTCGAATAAAAATAATATGTACACTGATACAATACGTACTTAAAATTTGCTTGAATATCAAGCTTTCGCATTTCAATATATGTACTCGAGTAACTACTAGAAATTTGATTGTACACTTGTCTAATTGAAATTTTTTTATATAAAACAATAATGTTTAAAAAGAAGGGAATAGGATGCTTCGTTGCTTATGATTTCGGTTCACATATGTAGATAGAAATAAAATTGCGCTTACCTGTGCAGCATCCGATGTCGCCTGTCATCTTACCTCGATGCGTTTGTAACAATGGCAGTGTACTTGCATCTCTAATAATATTTTGCTTCCTCGCGTCGATTCGTGCAATTGCGCAATAGCAAGGTCAGTGTCCATTCGAATAATCTATTTTTATCCAAGGGAAACTGAAACTCGATTTAAGCTTCATTGGCGCTAGCGATTGTGAAAGCGAACGGACTTCACAGAATGACGATCAAAGTGTAAGCATCGCACTACAATTACTATGTACAGCGTGGTCCACCTAACGTGACCACCTAAATTATTTCCATTATTAGTAGACAGCTCGAAATTTTTTTGGTCATGGAGGATAAGGTTTCATAGGATCTCCAAGGCAGTGACCTTAGATTTTTTTTCTATGACCTTTTTTTCAATAAGTTTTCAAGGTCACGTTTAATGCTTTTATATATAGATTTTATATATTTGTCTCAATGTCTGCTAGCGGCCTTGAAAACTTAATTAAAAAGAGACAGAACAAATCTACGCTCGTCAAATTGAAGATCCTTTGAAATCGTATAATCTGTGACCAAAAGAAATTTTGATCGGTCCACAAATAACGAAAATAATTCAGGTGGTCCACCCTGTATATAAATAGTAACGCATGGCGAACTACTAAAGCTGATGCCCTTTTAATTGTTACCGAATCGAATTAGAAATTCTTGTTTGAGTTATTTAATTTATAACGTATTTTCGAGTAAGTTCAAAATTTCTGTTTCTTATTTTGTTTTTAGCTGGTACTGTGTTGCTTGTTAATGCTTCTCGTTTATTTCTGTGTAAACATTTTACTAAAAAATTTGAAGACATTGTTAGATTTAAATCTAAAGAAGCTAAGATTTTCACCCTTTGCACTTGAATGGTGCTTCTTCTTAATGAATATAGCTGTGTTTGAAAGATTCTTAGAACTTGAAGTCAATCATGTGAGACACATAAATAAATTCGTGTTCCTAAAATAAACTTTAGGATTTTTACTGGTTTCTACTGTCTTATGTAATTCGATATTATATTAATTATATGGTAAATTATTACTTAAATTATCATAATCTATAGATTGCAGCAGGTTTGTTAACTCCACCGCACTTACTGTTGATATCGTACTTAAGGCTCTTGACCAATTAAATTTTCTTATTTACGTCGGTTCGGATTTGTAAATAACTTCGAATTATCGAGTGTATTAAGTGTACATGAGTGCGTGTGCACATCTGAATTGTGGCAAATTTAATTTTCTCTTTTTGCAATAAAAAAATTATAGTCCAAATATTTCAATCAGCTTACGTTACTATTTAAATTAAATGCAGTTGTGTTAATTGATTACAATAACAGATCGTTACGAATGAAAGCTTGATTAAGTAAATTATAATGGAATAGTAATAAAATAGTTCGCTTATATACTTGCCTCCATTTTTAAACGAATTATTTCCACCACAAATTTAGAATCTAGTAACCCTGCAATTTTTTATACAATAT